TGATTAGGTCGGCAAAGTTCACCAGCGACCGAGGGGGAGGAGCTGTTTCCCGAGCAGGAATATCTGCACAAACAAAAAAGTAGTCAAGAACATGAGAAGTCTGGAGAAAGAAATAATAAACTCAAAGGAACCGACGTACTTGTGGTTCTTCATTCCAGAGGGCATAACAAGTCATTATACTTGGGACCAACACCTCTCTGCCAAGATCCCTTGAAGATAAGAATATCATCCTTGTACTCCTTGTCCGAGTCGGGAAGATGAGTTACAAGGTACATGGAGGGGTCCCTAGCTTTGAGGTAGAAGTGTTGGTGAGGCATGACTTTTAGGAGGGAATAACAAAAAAGGAGATCGTTGAGCCCAATATTTACCCCGAGGCGCCTATTGAGCTCTAAGACCCCCATAATTATTCGGAAAATATTAAGGCAACATTGCCCGGGGAAGAGGNCTGTTGCGGAGGAGCAGGGGGTAACCCACGGCCTCTCCCGCTTTGCTGTTGAGCGGAAGGTGCCCTGGATCCCTAACCGAGGCCATCGTGCCGATGTTTGACCCTTCTTTCCTCCTCTACCTGAGGATCCCGGTCACGCACTTGACCCCGATTGAGAACTCTTGAGGATGGGGTGGAACTGGTCTTTGCAGAGGGGGCGCCGCCGGTCGATCCTCGACCCCTCCCGGCTGCAAGGGCTTGTCTTTGCCTCAGGAACCCCAGGTCGATGCGAGGCGTGCTAGACATCGCTACCTTGAGGGCGTCTAAAGATTGAAGAACTTGAAAGTCTGGCCACAAGTCTCCTCCCGAAGTCCCCACCTCGGCGTCCGAAGGAACAACGTCCTCTCTGACCCCGAGCTCTTCGACTACTCCCTCTACCTCTGCCTCCGAAGCCCGATCCAGGTCTTCCTCCAAGTTTTCCTTGNGATGAGTCTGCTGGCTTTAAGACTTTAAGGAAGAATGGGCAGTCGACGATGGAAGAAAAAAGAAATCTCGGGCGAAGATTCAAGAAGAGGCTCTCTTGAGGAAGTTCAGAATGACAAAACAAGAAAAATGGAAGAGGAGCCCCATTTATATAGAGGCAATTTTCATCATTGGGCACGAAAAATGAAACGGCGCATTTAATGCGCACGACATCCCAAGCTGGGGAAAGCGGCTCGAGGCAATGATGAAGCATTGGTGGTTGTTGGAAAATCCTTTGTCTCCTTACGACGCGTGTCCTCGGTGTCAGAAAATTGAAGGCTGGGGGGCAGTTGATGGGACTTTTCTGAAAAATCCTATGATGAAGACACGTGTCCTCGGTGTTACTAAAATACTTTTGCTAAGATCAAGCACCATCGGCGCACAAAGGTCCTCGCCCCCGAGGTAATCGTCATATAGGATCATACATTCAGTATGTTTTACAATCGACACGTGGCCTCGGTCTGATATGGTACCTCGGTCGGTATCCCTTCCCTCGGTTCCGAGATCAGCCTCTCCTCGGTGTCGAGGTGTACCATCCTAGACGCCTCCTCTACTCCAGGATAAGCTATTGACGTACAGGTCATTAGCCTAGGCTATTCATCATGACCTCGTCTTACACAATTAATGTCAGAACGTACTGGAATGCAGGAGCCACAACCAATGAGGGATGGACGCGTGGCACATGATATCACATCGAAAACAGAGAAACCGCATGCCGTTGCTGACACGCGACTTGGGAAAACAAACTATTAATTACACCATTCCCTTGATGAGACCGCATTCAATGCGGTAAGGCTCGAAAATGAAAGGCAATAAATGCTCCTAATATAGAGCATTTATTGCATCCTCCCCGAGAGGAGTACATTGTACCGTCGGCATCCCGATGACCCAGCATTGATTGCTCGGGACCCCGAGCAGTTAAGAAGAGAAGACATTCCTCATCAGAATCAGTGCGCACACTGCCTGTACCTAATGATCACCTACTGACTACACTGACAGCAATCATGAGATTTTGAGGTATAAATACTCCTTGCAAAAGGCAAGATGGGTATGCAACAAAAAACTTTTTACTACAATACTCACTCAGTGTTTTTTCCTTCCTCTCTCTTTCTGAAAGACTGACTAGATCGTCGGAGGGGATACGCCGAAAAATACTCCGGCGCCCTTCTAACTTGTTCTTCTTTGTTCCAGGAACCTCTTTCAGCCTTACTGGATCGTTCTTCCGTTCCCCCAAGTTCTCCCATTGCCGTTCCAGGTTACCACCGGACCTCGCAGGCTGTTCCAAGCAGCGTGTCTAGTCACTCAACCGGTTCACTCGAGTTCACCAAGGGAGAGATCTGTTCTCGTTTTTTATATTGTGCAGGATCTTGCACGCACAGTTTCTAACCACACTGAAATGTTTTTGAGCACATTGAACTAATATTAATCAAATTTGTTTCCTTTTGTTTAATCTTTCATTCAATGTTCAATTAATTTTCAATTTATTCAGGATTATGTCTATTGCTCTCACCCCCTTGCAGGAGCAGCAATTGCAATAGTCAATAAAATAAGGTATTTTTAATGATTTTATAACATTATTTTTTGGGTAGACAAAAATTTACTTGCTTTTAACAATTAATAACTTTGTAGTATTCGATTTCTGTGGAATTTTATAAACATGTAAAAAGGATTGGTTCTATTAGTGGGATCGTAGAATTGTTTACTTTATCTCTATAGAAATGGCGTGAATATGTAAATTTGGACAAACACAAAAAATTGCTATGGCTTAAACCAATAAAAGCTCCAATTTATGCTTATAGCTCTTATGAACATGTAAAAAGTCCAATTTTGTTTGAGTTTATGTTGTTTGGTATAGAAATAGTATTAAATGTGTAATTTTGAGCAAAAAATAATATTTTATTTTTGGGCCTTACAAATCTGAAAAAAAAAATGTGTAAGATTGCGTATTTTTATATTTATGATACATAAATTGTGTTCATATTTATGTTTTGAGTATTATTGTTGTCGTAGAGAGCTAAAAACTTAGTCTTCTAAGACATTATATACTTGATTTGAGTTGTGTTTAGTTAATAAATGTTTGATTATATAAATTGCGTACAAAGATTGTTATTGCTTAGTGTTCATGTTTGTAGATGACATTTTGTTAAGTTTTTTTTTAAAATAATAGTGGGTGTATATTGATTGACGTTTTTTTTCTCAATTTTTTTATTGACGATTTTTTGTGTAATGTTGGCTTATATTGATTGGAGATTTTTCTCAATTTTTTGATTGACAAATTTTTGTATTTTATAGTTTCTCCGAGTATGAGCATTACTTATGATTTTTTAATTTGTTACAAAGTATTTTCAGATACAGATAATTACTAGTAGATAGATATGAGAATTTTTTTTTTTCAATGTTAGTCAAACTCCTTAAATTTAGGAGTTTTTAATTTTTAATTTTACTTTATTTTTAAAGGGAAGAGATAGTCTGATAAAATTGATAAAAAACGAATTTCATAATAAATAAATTTTTTTAACAGATTTAAATTCAAACATGTGCAAATAAGAGAGGACCTACCTCCAAAATTTTCTATTATTTTTGTAAGATTCGACTTAAAACGGACAAGAGGAAGCACAATGGGCTAGCCCATACAAGGCCCATAATTAGGCTAGAGACCAACGGTTCATGGAAGTTAAACTGCAATCTCTCTCTCTTTCTCTCCCTCCTCTGGTCTTACTCCCCATCCTGCTATAGACTTGAACAACACATCTTCAAAGCCCAATCCTTTAGGCTGACAGGTATTGGATTTCGATTCTTTCAGTTCCATTTTTTGTAAATTCGAGTCAAGTTCATTAGGTACTGAACTTTTATCTGCCTAACCTAGCTGGATTCCTGATCGACCTCCATTTCAACTCTCATAGCGTCCAATTTGAGGGGGTTGAGTCAACGAACATGTGGAGAAGCAAAAGGGTGTCATTTTCGATCATATACATTTGCATCTTCTGTTGGGCATTCTGTATTATTAGTGTCTACGCTCAAGACCCAGAATTCGGATCAGCTCGAGTCGTCTTCCAGGTTCATCCCTCAACATTTATGATCTTATCTTCTCCCCGTGTATGTATTTTGAGGAAATCGCCAAATTCAAGAAATTTGTTGCTATGATTTCATTAGATATAATTAATTTGGGGTTATTGCTATTGGAATTTCATTCTAGGAATTGGTATGAATTGATGAGTTTCAATGTGTTAATATTAGAAAGTATACGCGGGTAAGTTTTAATTTTGTTGCTGATGAGGTTTTTGATGAATTTTGGATGCAGACAAATTATGGGGATATTGAATTTGGTTTCTATCCTAGTGTGGCACCCAAAACCGTTGACCACATTTTCAAGGTTGTTCGTTTGGGATGTTACAATACCAATCACTTCTTCCGGGTAGTAACATAGTTCTGAGGAGAATATATATTTTGATGAGCTTATAATAGTAATATCTTTCATATGGGTAACCAAATTTCTAAACTGAATGCAGGTTGATCAGGGTTTTGTTGCCCAAGTGGCAGATGTTGTGGGTGGAAGAACCGCTCCTATGAATGATGAGCAAAGAATGGAAGCTGAGAAGACTGTTGTTGGTGAATTTAGTGATGTCAAACATGTAAGGGGCATTCTTTCTATGGGGAGGTAAAGTAGTTGGTAGCAGTTTCTGTGTGATCAGTTATATTAGTTGTTCTCTTAAGTTTGTTATTGTTATGGTTCTCAACCGTTTCACATGGTGTTCTTTACTTTGTGTGCTTGACTGCTTTAGTGGTGTTAACTAAGTTATGCTAGTATTTAGTTAGGAGTGCACAATTTAGTAATTATCCATATTGGTCATGGAATACAATCTTATTTCTAGCAAGATTTACTCATATGCTGAATAAAATCGATCACACGAAGTCTACCATAATATTCCATTTATTTTGAATCCTGGTATTTTGCTCCAGTACATAATTTTAAACTAGACATCTAATCAATGTTACCTAGATTGCAGATCGCCTTGGTACGTAGGGGTACGAGTATATGGTATGACACTTTCTTTGATACACGATACGATGGGGGTTGATTTAGCTGATACGATTTTTTGGGTCGCAATTCGTTTTGGAACTCATATGTAGATCCTTTTTATTACTATACAACATTATATATTACAGAACATTTATAAACATAAAGTTAGTTACCATTTATTTTATAGTTGTGCTTGATTTTCTAGNATTGGTATGAATTGATGAGTTTCAATGTGTTAATATTAGAAAGTATACGCGGGTAAGTTTTAATTTTGTTGCTGATGAGGTTTTTGATGAATTTTGGATGCAGACAAATTATGGGGATATTGAATTTGGTTTCTATCCTAGTGTGGCACCCAAAACCGTTGACCACATTTTCAAGGTTGTTCGTTTGGGATGTTACAATACCAATCACTTCTTCCGGGTAGTAACATAGTTCTGAGGAGAATATATATTTTGATGAGCTTATAATAGTAATATCTTTCATATGGGTAACCAAATTTCTAAACTGAATGCAGGTTGATCAGGGTTTTGTTGCCCAAGTGGCAGATGTTGTGGGTGGAAGAACCGCTCCTATGAATGATGAGCAAAGAATGGAAGCTGAGAAGACTGTTGTTGGTGAATTTAGTGATGTCAAACATGTAAGGGGCATTCTTTCTATGGGGAGGTAAAGTAGTTGGTAGCAGTTTCTGTGTGATCAGTTATATTAGTTGTTCTCTTAAGTTTGTTATTGTTATGGTTCTCAACCGTTTCACATGGTGTTCTTTACTTTGTGTGCTTGACTGCTTTAGTGGTGTTAACTAAGTTATGCTAGTATTTAGTTAGGAGTGCACAATTTAGTAATTATCCATATTGGTCATGGAATACAATCTTATTTCTAGCAAGATTTACTCATATGCTGAATAAAATCGATCACACGAAGTCTACCATAATATTCCATTTATTTTGAATCCTGGTATTTTGCTCCAGTACATAATTTTAAACTAGACATCTAATCAATGTTACCTAGATTGCAGATCGCCTTGGTACGTAGGGGTACGAGTATATGGTATGACACTTTCTTTGATACACGATACGATGGGGGTTGATTTAGCTGATACGATTTTTTGGGTCGCAATTCGTTTTGGAACTCATATGTAGATCCTTTTTATTACTATACAACATTATATATTACAGAACATTTATAAACATAAAGTTAGTTACCATTTATTTTATAGTTGTGCTTGATTTTCTAGTATCTAAAACAATATATAATTATAAATCTATATACATGTAGTTAATTAATATGTATTTTGTATTTGTGCTACATGTTCTAAATCGAATTGATTTAGGGTTAGTAGTACAATTTGTGGTTGTCCATTTTGGTGATCTGGATCGCGAACTCATATCGTTTGGGATCGATGTACCTAGATTGTAGGTCATTTAGGGTTTAGTGAATTGTGGTAACGATTATAAATCACATGAATGGAGTACTCAGAATAGTGAATTCATATGTGCAAAAGTATCACACACACACAATGTACATATATGTATAATATATAAACGCCAGTTTTATAGTACACCACGAAAGGTCGAATATAGTACTGTGGAGTGTGGAGGTGTAGAGGCATACAATTAGGCAAAGTGCATGAAGTAAATGGCAGGAATGCATTAACTGAAAACATGTTATCCTAGGATTGAAAAAGAAATTGCTTTTCTATCTCAAAAATTTTATTTCTAGTTTCTACGCTTCGAACTTCTCTAGTCATCATAACTATGAGGTGAATCATTCACAAATCTGCGGTGCTTCATCTAGGTATGCTGATCCGGACAGTGGCTCATCCTCATTTTCAATACTTCTTGGAAATGCCCCTCACCTTGATGGCCAGGTATGTTATCCATAGTTTGTATGTCAATAATTATTTCTAACCACTTATACCATGGTTTCTGTCAATTATTCCCGGATGGACTTCTTCCAGTATGCAATATTTGGTAAAGTTACCAAAGGAGATGAGACCCTGAAAAAGCTTGAGGAACTTCCTACTCGTCGGGAAGGGATCTTTGTGATGGTATATATCTTTCACTTTTTGATTTCTCAGTAGGTTTAGGATGATTGATCTCACTTAAGAGGGGAATCTAAATTGTGCGTGATCATCATTTGAGACTAAATTATAAAGAGCCATTTGTTAAAAACCTAAATGGTTGTTGTCATCCTTGGGAACTTCTTGTGCCTTCATGGACATTTTCTGTAATGGAAGGTCCCGTCATTGTGCGAACCTTACTGGTTATGGGAGTAGAGTGAAAGAGATACTTGTGTCGTGGAAGACTTGAAGTAGATATTTATCCATCCTTGACCTTTCTACCATGAGGACATCTATCTCCCATTCATGTGGAATAGACCAGGGAACCAGTCATTATGTTCTCTCAAGGAGCCCAACAGTGGATAGTATAAACCATTGACAAGACTGAAATTATATTCTCATGACCATCAGATGCTTAATATAACTTGGCTCTTTTTAATATTTTGAATTGCAATCTCTTTACTACCTGATGTGGGAGACCAAAGTTAAGGATGAACCTAATACATCATCTCTGATTCTAGTCTTCTTTTTCACTTAGTTGTGTGACTTGTTTCTAATGGATGCAGCCTACTTGTTCCAGCTGAATTTACTTATTGAATTCAATACTCCTATAAACATGTTCTTCAAGTTTGAATTGTTTTAATCAATTTAAGCTTTCTGTGATTAACTGATTGATTGTTTTGCTTATATTTTTTCAGCCAACTGAGCGCATTACCATTCTGTCATCATACTATTATGGTGAGAATCTTGTGGCCTACTAATCCATTTTTTGTATATATACTTATATGTGGTCGTTGCTTATATCAACAATGGTCTATCATGGGATATAATCTTGCACCTTCACCAATTGAGTGGCTTACAGATGCCACTTGAGCTATGAGCTTGTAAATATGAATCCACCACGTGTTGTGGTTTGTTTCTTCTATGTTCCGCACTCTTTGGCTTGCTGCTGTACAGAGAAAAATAGATGTAACTTGTTCTTGCTTGTACAAGTTTGCTAAACACATAACATTAGTACTTGAACACTTTCCATAACGAGTTGTAGTAAAAAATGTTCTATTGTGTACCAGTGATTCCTCTTTTGTTCCCAGAAATTCTCTCTTCCCATGGATATTGAAATAATCTGAAGATGATAGCAGTCACAAGTTTTGGGTTGTCTTGTTTGATTGTTCTAACAAGTTGACAGTCCAGAAAATATGAGTTAAGGATCTTTTTTCTCATGAAGTTCCCCTAATTGGTCTTTAGGTTGTAGGAAATCTACACCAACTTTGGCTGACTATAATTTCAACTTCCTGGCTTGCAATTCTGTATTTTGCTGTTCTCTGCTCCTTTTCCTAAATTTAATGTTTATGAGATTTTTGAGGATACAGGCACGAGATTTTGTTGGAACAAAAGCTGCATATTGAAGTATAGTAGTAAAAACTGTCCTTGACTTAGCCTAAAGCACAAAACCTACTCATTCCTCTACACTTACAGAAGCTAGGCAGTGATGAGTCTTAGTTGCAGCGTGGAACACATGATTTGTTTGTAATCTCATTCATCCAGCTTTTTTTTTTTTTGTGACATTGTCCTTGTGGTGCGTCTAACTAATCAATTTAGAAGCTGAAAGAAAGTAAAGCTTATGCAGTCAAAAATTGAGTCTTCCTATGTCAGAACACGTGAGCTTTGTTAACCATAGCCTCTGCTTAGATTCATTATGCTATTTTCGAAACCTTCATTTTGGTTACAAAAGTCTAATGCCATAATCAATGGTGACAAAGGCAAACCCAAACCCAAACCCATAGCAAATATGCTATAGCTTTAAGTTCATGTCCAATTATTTTTCATCTCACCAAAGCAATTTCAATGTTGAGCTCTGTCTTCATTCAATTTAACAAGCCTACCACCTTTCAAATTTGTGGTAGGATGATAGACATAAGTGTTTTTTTTTGTCACCTTTCTGCTATGACAAAGTTGGTAAAAAGGAACTTACATTATGTGTTGAAGAGGTTCATGAGCATTCAGTGGTTTGCAGAAACTATCATGCAAGCAAGGAGTTTGGTCTTTGCTATTAGGTTGGCGGGTAGATTTAGTTACTCTAAAGTGAACCAACACAATACAGTCTACCAACAAATTATTGTTACTATTATCCAATCGTAGTGAAAAAGATTTTGTTTGAGTCAAGTAGGCATTAACGGGCAATCTTAGGGGAGCTCAATCAACATATCTTAGGTGAAATCCCTCAGCTTGTTCGTGGATATCAGGTAAAAGGGACATTATTCAGTCAGTTGTTCCCATTTTTTGGTTTTTTATAAATTTTACTGTTTTTATTTCAAGATACCACAATGGAAACTTGTGAACAAGAGAAGTCATCATTGAAAAGGAGGCTTTCTGCATCATTTGTTGAAATTGAAAGACAGGTATAGTTGTTCCAAGCTCCATATAATTCAACTCAAGCTTATGATTCACTTTAGTGTGGACTCTCAGCGACTGTTATTTGCAGAGGATGAAATGCTTCCCGTGAAGAAGCAGGCAAGAGCCAGTTAAAGGAGGAACTAATTTTACCATTGCTGGTAAGTCATCATCCAGACCTTGAGGTTTTTAGTTTGATAACTTGACAAAAATTATTATCAATATCAGATTTAGAATGTTGGGGAATGCTGACAAACTGAAGTTTCTGTTTAACAGCTTGAAGTTTCACATAGAGCATCAGATAAACAAAGTAGCTGCCTAATCAGATTAAGATCACTTGGCTCTTCTATTCAAGTTTGGTAAAAGCTCACTGACTGTTCATAGCTTTGATTTATTTCCTCCTGAAACTTGGCTGGGACACATTGCGTTGCACCCAACTGTGTGAGTTCGTTGGTGAATATGCTTTTGTAGAGAACCAATCATACTCTGAATTCTTTTTCTTCTTCTTTGGGCTTAATATATACTGTACTTCAACCAATTCCATACAATCTTTGTTTTGTCTCTTGGGCTTGCATAGTTAAATATTTTGCATTTCAGTTTCAGAGCTCTAGTTCTGGAGGTTATGTACAATTGCTAGTAGCTCATTATGGGCTATGGCTCAAACTACTGTTATTCATCTTTGCCGAAAAGTCACTAGTAATGGGGTTCAATGGAAGATTTTCCATTTCTTTGGATTGTTCGGCCCGACTTTGAGGCAGATGATGCGGTTGAATGCAGACGTCTATTCTTATTGTGAGATTTTGTTGGGTTGAACTTGTATTTAGTCACATACATTTATAAAAATTATCTGCAATTTTTTGGTCATCTGAAGAAGTAATTTGGATCAAATGGTTCAAATTTTCTTAATCATGCGGGATCTCTCCTTAAAGCTGTAGGCTATGATGATTCAAAACAGAATGGCACATAGCGAAAGGATAGAGAATCCACTAAACTCCACAGTTCTTGACTCCACCAAAGTCATCTTTCTAACACAGCCAAAAATGTCTTTATCTGCTATGTTGCGTGAACCATATATAATTCTAAACACTAAAACGTGTTCATAGAATTCCAATAGAATAGCATGTGCTTCCTGCTTTTAGCAGAAAGGGTTATGAGAGAGAGCAGTTGCACTGTTGTCCAGTTTAATTCCTTATTATGTGTTCTGGTTAGTTTTTCATTATTTTTTCAGGAAAAGATCGTGGAAAATCTTTTCAGTACTGTATTAAAAAATATCATTAAAGGTTAAATTACACCTCGCAAAGGATATTTACAACTATACTAATAATCAATCACAATATTTCATGGTCGATCACATCATAAATAATCTCCATTAGTTATGATTTCATTTTTATATCATAAAAGTTATATATTTCATCATCGATCACAATATTATATAATCGATTATAATCTTTTGAGTTATAACTAAAGATTTAATTTAACTTTTAAACGCCATAACTTTATATAAGATACCTTTTCCGACATGGTTCTCGGCTTCTTTTCTTTTGGAGGGCAAACTATTTTATCTGCTAGCTAGGGTTTTAATTCAATAGTGAGTCCCATCAGTGTTTCCAATTATGTAAACATTTATGCAGTTACGTTGAAGTCATTGGCCGCATAAGTTGAAGACTCTAGAATGTCCCAACAGCTCAAGAAGGACACCACCACATGGCTACAATATTCGTAGCATTTCGTAGCAGAGACTCTCTCTGTCTCTCTCTCTCTAGGGGTAGGACACTCCAACTTTGACTATGCTGTTTAATTGATGCTACATGGGTTGTTGGGTCTGTTCAGGGGAACAACTGAAATTGCATGAGACATTACAAGGACAGAACTCACATGAGAATGCAGAAACCCATAGTGACTAGTAACCTCTTCTAAGTCTGGTGTAACGTTGAACTCATTTCTGTAGAGTAAATTTGTGATATCTTCAGTTATCGCAAACTACCAAGGTTGTTTAAATTGAAGAGTCACAAATGGGAATCAAATTCAAAACGTTTACTCCAAACCAATGGGCAAATTGAAGCCTTAGTCTTTATTGTGTGTTTTTGAAAATTGATCCAAACTCATTCAGGCATTAGGGTTTGTCCATGGATTGCGTCGGAACACCATCGGACCAAGTATTATCCTGTGAATTGATTGGGTTGGGCAGGAACATTGGCCAGTGACCTATCCAATGGCTCATCCCGTAGCCCGTAGCTACGTGGCGGGCCATGACAAGGTTCGATTAGGTCAACCTAATTTTTTTTTTTTTTAAAATAACGGCAATAGGTCACGTGCAGGTACCAGCACCATGCCATGTAGTGCCTCATGCGTGAGGTGAGGGAATGGCCCAATGGTAAGGTTTCACTCTCTCTTGCAACGGTTGCGAGTTCTAACTTCATCTCCTAGTGGTACGAGAGTTCCAATTGTATGATTTTGCAAAGAGCCACTGTATTGTACATTCCCATGGCTTGTCTATGCCACTGCCTGTTTTTGATGACATTTATCACAGAAGAACAAAACTTCGAAGAAAAGCCACGTGACCGGTCTTGGACATTATTGAAAAAAACATCGAAGCCTGACTGATTGAACCATGGTGGTCTGAATTCCATGCCATTATCTGAAAGGGTTTCATGGTCACCATGGCCAATTTTGCAGTGCATTAATAATAAATGAACCCTATGGTTTTGGATGGGCCAGGAAATTCTGATGGTTTGCTATGTTATTTCACGACAGTATTTATTGAACAACAAATCGATCAACATATTCTTCATTACACTTTCACTCAAAAAATAAATTATTTACCATTAATATACATGGGGCCGACTATTTATTAGTGGGTTCCTCACTTATACATGGTGAATGATATACTACTAAATAAAATTAAAGAAAAACGTAATGAAGAGGATCTCCATTCTGGAACAATGACATCGGCCTGGCGGCTAACTCCATTATTGAACAAAGACCTCCATGCGTGTCGGTTCATACATTAGATTAATGTAGTGGTCTGAAATGCTTGAAATTGTCTCTAGCAGTACTGAACCATGAACTTTTGTTGTGTTCAAATTTTAGATGTGGGATCCGACAGTCGAGTGTAAGTTTGAAGAGTTTGACACGAGACAACTGAAATAAAAAGCATCGGCCTTAAAAAGTCATCACTAAAAGTGAGTTTTTCATCACAAAAAGTTTTTTTTGACGATGCCCCGTTTGAAAAGTTTACGATGACAAAGAAATATGAACCTATTCAAACCAAACCTACTGGATTTGGACCAAATGTTGCTCAGATTCATCTCTCAATGATCACGTCAGAGACTGTGATTAATGAGGGAGGCACTATATTTAAATCTAAAGTGCATAGTCTTGGCAATGGATTTAGAGGGCTGAAGTGCCTTCTAACTTGTATTTTGCAGGCTTCCACTGCTGTAAAAGGATGAGATCTGTAATGTGGTGGTGGTAGTGAGAACCTCTTCGTTTAACTTAGCTGAATTTGTGAAAAAATATCAGACTTCAGTTAAGTTACTATTTCTGTTTATATGAAAGCTTTGGGTGGGGGTAGGGGTGGGGGTGGGGGTATGACAAGCTTGGAATTAGAGCTTAGGTTTATGAATTGTTAGAGGATTAAACTGAATTTGAATAGTAATGCCCCGATTGACCCAGAATAAGGTAGTGTTTCAGTGGACTGATGATTGTGAAAAAAGTTTCAATGAATTAAAGGAAAGGTTGGTGTCTGCTCCAGTTTTTACCATACCTATAAATAGTGGTGGGTATGATATCTACCGTGATGCTTCAGGGAAAAGGTTGTGTTGTATATTGATGCAATACAGAAAGGTTGTGGCTTAAAGCCTTATAAACAGAATTACCTGATACATGATTTAGAATTGACAGCTGTTGTGTTTGCACTTAAGATATGGAGGCATTATTTGTATGGGGAGACATGTCAAGTATATACAGATCATAAGAGTCTCAAGTATGTATTCACACAAAAAGAGTTGAACATGAGACAACGAAGGTGGCTAAAGCTAATCAAAGACTATGATGTGAATTTGCATATCATCCAAGGAGAGCAAATGTGGTGGCAAATGCACTAAGTAGAAAATTTATAAGGAGCATGGCCTCTTTGCTTACTCAGCAAAAACAACTTGTGAGGGACCTTGAAGAGTCAAAGGTTGAGGTGGAGATACTCGAGACTAATGCTTTTATAGCAAGGTTACAAGTTCGACCTATCTTGCTAGATCAAATAAAGGAGGCAAACTTGAATGACTTGAATTTGGTGAAGATTCTAGAAGAAACGGAGCAAGGAGAGAAGACTGATTTTCATGTGGCAAATGGAGTGTTGAGATTTGGAGATCAAGTATGCGTACCTAATGATCTAGAGAACAAGAAACAAGTGATATAGAAGGCCCATTACTCTCGTTTCACAGTTCATCCAGGA